ATTACACCGACATGAATTATTTATCGTTCATGCGAAATAATTTATTAAGTTGAAAGGAATCATATCAAATGTAAACTTATTTTGACTTTCGCTAGTTCACTGACTTAACACCCTTGAATGGCCATAATGCCACTACACTGTACATACTTTATAAGTTTAACTTTCAATCGTGCAAAACATTAAATAAATTACAGGTTTAAAAGTCGTCCCGTTCATTTTATCAGAGATGTTATATTTTCGATCCTTAAAGATAGTTCAACACGACACAATTGTTGTTTTTGTGTTATTTTTTTATTTTAAACTATTTGGCTTTTTCGATTTGGGTGGTTCAAATATTCCAACTTGAATAGTGTTGAATCACCCTTAGAATATGTTGCGTGCTTTTTTTACTATGTCTTTTGATGTCTTATCTGTGGTATACAGGCTTCATAACCTCTGATTCCCTTAAGACATTCCATTTTGTTTAGTTTCGCCAATTCTTTTCTCGTAAAGGGCACACTTTTTGTATTTTCTGGTCGCAGATCAGGAAATACAATGCTTGCATTCAATCTCTTGACGACAAACCTAAGAACAAGTCGTTCTCAAAACAGCTTAAAACTAGCGATGTAGAAGAAAGAAATCTTTTATTTTGTTACAAGTATCCAACAAATTACAAAGCATTCAAAGTTTAAAAGTAGTGTTGGCTTATAGAATTGTCAACAAATGCACAATCACAAATTTCGCCAATGAATAGAATATCATTTTAATCAATAAAAATGCAATATTTGGCGATGTCGATTACCGAATACTGCAGAGCGTATTATACAAAAAAAACATAAATACGGAAAATGAAAATACGCATTTTATTTATCAATATTTCTCAATATCTTTTTTATCAATATTTCTCAATATTTTAATGAATAGTTATCATCTGTATAAAACTATTCATACATTTAAGGCTTAGGTAATTATTATTAGGTAAAAACAATAATTGCGCGTCATAACCTCCCTGTCGGCGTTTCAGAATGATGAAACTCTTTGATATATGCCGGGGTTTTATTTGGCGGGAAGGGAACGCTCGTGACAGAGTAAATTACTGCAACTTCAAAGACACATCAATGAGCTTATGTGACGTCATCCGACCCAGACGAACAGGCTGTAATCATTTTCATTTTGAACATTGGTGTGGCCAGCAGCTGTAGACAAGCAAACGTAAGTAAAAAATCCTCTAGCAGCGTTCTTTATTTAGTCAAAATAAATTTTGGTAGGGTTGTGAAATATGGCGCCGCAAGAAAAAATAAATTCGGTATATGTGTCCGTCGTAATGTTCTTTTCTTCGGACAATTTTGTGAAACATATACCGACGAAATTTGTCAGTAACATGATATAACTAAAAAGTATGCAGTTCAGAGACAATGCCTCTTGCTTTGATTAGCCATCATATGAATTATCTTACATATTTGACTTATGCGAATTGCTCTTTTTTAAAGGTGCAGTAAGGGATGTTCACAAAAAATATAAATTGGAACATTGTTTTTTCCAATCTTGAGGTGTTCCAAAAATTACACTGTTCCATTTTACATGCAACTCTTTGAAGAAAAAATGGGCATCTGATACTTTTCTTCAATATGATTTATTACTGTACCTAATTTATGGGTGTACCAGAAATTGAATAACGGGGAAAAAGCATATATATATGTATATATGCATATATGTTACTCTGAATCAATAACAGTTGGACTTTTTCACATAAACTAAACATTAAACCTTTTGAAACACCCAAAAGTAAATTCTGTTATATATATTTTCAGGTTGGATATATTTTTTGAACTTAATGCACCTTTAATAGAGGGTAAATTTCTTTTAAAAGTAGCATGTGAGCAGGTAACGAAAAGTGGTGAAAATCGATTCAACAATGACTTAATATAGGGTCTTAAAAGAACGGTAGAATGATGCATCCGCCTCTATGAATGATGGACTCCATCCCCAACCCCAACCCATCTGTTCAACCCTGGTCCCCACATCTACAACCCCTCCATATTAAAAGCAATTTTCAATATATAATTTTGTCATGATTAACTATTTTCTGAAAAGTGTTTTTGGTATTATATGTGTTGCTTTGAATGTAGAGGGGTTGTAGATTTGGGGATCCTTGTAGAGAGCGCGGTTAAGGGTGAAAGGGGGAGGCATCGATCATAAAGGGGATCCATCATTCATAGGTGGACTAAGTGAAATGTCGGATGTCTGTGTCACGTGTTAGATGTAAAATAGGAAAACGTCTAAATATAATGTTTAAGGTATTAAACCGCCAAATGTTTCATGTGCAATACTACTTAATGTGTCACGTGCAAAACCACTATATATTTAACGGTTGATGGTGCAATACCACTAAATGTTTCAGATGCAACCCCATATATATGTCTAATGGTCGCAATACCTTTGAATGTTAAATGGTCAAATACAACAAAAAGGTTATAGGTATTCTAAAACTAAATGTTAAAGTGAAATACCAATTTCATTTTTATTCGTACCACTAAATGGTTCATGTTTATTTGTCATACGACCCTATTTAATGTATCATAACACGTCCGTTCGTCCGCCTGTCCGTTACTTTCATGTTCGCACAATAACTTTGTCATTCCTTGATGGATTTTGAAATCACTTTGCAGTAATGTTCATCACAATTAGACGATGTGTTACGCGCAAGACCCAGGTCAGCTCCAAGGCCTGTCAGCTCCAAGGCAAATGTCACTAAATGTATGTTTTCAACTAGAATTCTACTATGGCGTTTGTATGCCATTTTGTTTCTAAGTCCGGTAAACCAAAATGTCACTAAACATGCTTCACATCTAAGACTAATTTTTTTTATCTTGCAGCATGAAAAAGCAGGAGGCACTGGGATGCCTTTCGAGAACGAAATACGACACAATGGTATCGATGCTGAACAGAAACAGGCGATAATGCAACTAAGGAAACGTAGGGATCAATATGGACTCAATAAAAGGGGGCAATTATTGTGTCATGGAAAGATCGTTATTGTTAAAGATGAATTATCTGCATTTGTCAAAAAAAGCTTTTAAAGATAGTCACGGGTGTGGTCCAATAAGATGAAATTGAAGTATACAGGATTTACCCTTCGGAAGGTCATTGAAATTCTATCTAAAAGTAAAAGTTATCATAGACAGTATCCACGATTCACAAATAAATCTATTCCAAAGACTGTAACAGCCGATCGACCGGGACATCGGTGGCAGATTGATTTGATTAATATGTCTGAAGATGCAGTTATGTTTAACGGTCACACGTACAAATACATTTTTCAAATCATTGATGTATACTCGAGATACATTTTGCCGCAACCTCTAAAAAGCAAAAAAAGTAGCGAGATAGCTGTAGCACTTGAAAAGACAATAATGCAAAACGGAGCTCCAAAAATCTATAATGTGACAACGGCCCCGAATTTAAGGGCCATAAAATAGACCAACTGATGGAAAAATATGGTGTAGAAGTAATAAATGGCAGACCATACCATCCGCAATCTCAAGGGAAATGTGAACGATCAAATCGCGTTTTGAAGCAAAGAATTAGATTCGCCAGTACAAGACGTAAAGGTTTCAATTGGGTAGAGGGACTAGCCAGTATAGCAAACGAAACAAGCAATTATCATAGTATTGCAAGCAATCCATAAGTCCCCTACCGATAAGAGCCCAAGCAACATTCTGAAGGGCCATTGGCCATTCACTTATGTTCCTATTTTAAGTAAATTTGTTAAAAAAGTTATTTAAAAGTTATCACAGGAAACAGTTTTTATGTTCAGACAGACAGACTGAAGGACACTCTAAAGTTATTTTTTAAACATCCCTGTTATCAAAATATAACATTTTTAAAATCCTATCATGATTGAAGAAGTTGGAGTGAAAATTACCAATTTCTCAAAAAAAAAGTGTAAGTTCAAAAGCGGCATAATTCTGGAAATAGTCTTGCTAGAGTATTGAACTATCACAAATGTTGGGTGATAATAAGAAACATTTATATGAAGTTTGAAGTAGATACATTCAAAAAAAGAAGTTATTAAAAAAAACAATGTTTTTTTCATGAAAATTTTAAGTTCAAGGGAGGCAATTCTGATAAATTTTGTGCTAGAGTTGTAAACCTTGTCACATATGATGTGGTTGATGACAAGCAACTTATATTTAAAGTTTGAAGAAAATACCTTAAGAAATAAAGAACTTATAGTGAAAAAACTTAAAAACTAGAATCAGAAATCTTGAAATTCAGTCTATTTGTTGCCATAGCAACCAGAATTTTCAACATAGGAAGATAAGAAACGGATGTGCATAATTTCTATACTGCCGTCTACCCATATGTCAAGTTTCATAAACATATTTTCAGTACTTTTTGTGTTATCACTGGATCCAGGTTATGTGTAAATTTTGCCATATTTTCAGTCTATTTGTTGCCATAGCAACCAGAATTTTCAACATAGGAAGAAAGGAAAAAGATGTGCATAATCTCCATACTGCCATCTATCCATAAATCAAGTTTCATAAAAATATTTTCAGTACTTTTTGCGTTATCACGAGATCCAGGTTATGTGTCAAATTTGCCATATTTTCAGTCTATTTGTTGTCATAGCAACCAGATTTTTCAACATAGGAAGAAAAGAAAAAGACGTGCATAATCTCCATACTGCTATCTATCCATATATCAAGTTTCATTAAAATATTTTCAGTACTTTTTGCGTTATCGCGGGATCCAGTTTTGTGGACGGACGGACTGACGGACGGACAGACGGACGGACTGACGGACAGACGGACAGACGGACGGAGGGTAAACCTAAAGTCCCCTCCGGTAAACCGGTAGGGGACTAATAAACACAAGTGTATCAAAGGCTATCGGGTATATTACACCATTTGAGGCCTATCATGGTAGAAGCCATGTCAGTACAAATCAAACTGAGCAGAATATTCACAAGAAGATTAAAAAGGCCTCCAAGTCGTGTTACTCAAAGATTTTAAAGAATGCCCCACATCCAAGTAAATATAAATAAGGTTGGAGAAAAAATTCTTCTTCGCCATCCGTTTTCAGTGACGAGGGTTCCTCTGAAACGTCATGTTATTCCAGGAATAATTTTGGGATTTAATAAGCTAAGAAGTAGATACCGCGTGCTTTATAAAGATCTAAAGCATCAGAATGATTTTGTAAGAAATTGGATCGGGGTAGAATACATCACCAGTACTACAGTATCAAAAGAAAAAGTTAGAAGAAAGCGGGTTGCGAAACCAAAGTTACACACGAAGAAGACAAGTCATCCTGAAAAACTAAATAAAATTGTTATGACACATGAAGATTATTTGAATTTGCTTGATAACGATGATTTCCCGAGTGGAATTTCGGTGGTGTATGACCCGTCTCCAGATGGCAACTGCCAGTTTGAAGCGATCGCGCACCAAATGCAATTTAAAGGAATACATAGAAGTGCTACAACACTGAGAAAAGAAGCTACAGAACATCTTAATCAGCAAGACGCGTTCTACCGACAGTTTGTTCATAACATGACGTATGAAGAATATGTTTCTTCTATGGCGCGTGATTGCTATTATGGTATTAATCTTACGCTCGTGGCTCTCATGAGGGAATATAACATGCAATGTATAGTTATATCACCACAAGGTCGCACACATACAAGGCTTATATCAAATGATGAATTTTATGATAGAATGTTGCCTGTGTTGAGCATAGCTCATTTTCCGGAAGACAATGGTATGCATTATGTTAGTGTAGAGCTACAGAGAAACATTCTTATCGATTATTTATCAGACTTTGAACAGCCAGACAGCACTGACAAGAAATCAGCAGACTCTGATCTTGGAGAGGCATCGGCTGAAAGAAAACATGAAAAGGGGAAAAAGTCCGTTCAAACACAAAAAGCCAACGAGACCGAAACGGATAATGTGCGAAAAAAAATGCTAAGTAGATTACATAAAGCTGTCTTGGAAAAGCGGAGTGGGGTGCATAAAAAGACAATAGCATTTCAGCGGTTACCATTACACATACAAATACAAATTGTCAAATATTGCTTGAATGATCCTTCATTTAGATTTGTTTTAGAAAGGACACATGGGTATTTCCGGAGTTGTTAAGGATAATGAATTGCCAACGACCACAAATACACATTGGATCCTATGTTATGAGTGACATTCCAACACCCGTAAGTGTCAGACGTCTTTCAAGAACTGTTGGACGAAACAGTGGATTGCTATTAGAAATAAGAAAAATCATAAGAAACAGGAAATGGTTTAATGCTTGGCTTTATCTTAGAGTGTGTGGTATTGGTTGGTATGAAATTACAGATATCCGCTGAAGTCCGGAAATAAAAGACTGTTTTAGTTATTGTTTGACTGCAATTGTCGTTTTATCATATTTTGAGGTTTGTTTATATGACTGATGTTTTCCTTTGAAAAGAATCGTTTTGTTGAAACAGTAGTTTATGTAAATTGCACTACTTGATTTGTTGTGTCAGTAAAGACTTAGTTTAATGAACCAGTTTTGTACTATATTAAATGTACTAGTTTTGTACTACATGTATATCCATGTGTTCATGTTACTCAACAAGATAATATGATATTCTGGCTGTTTTGTCTTTCCTTTTCTCCGTACGTTTGCCACATCGTGACACCGAACACAGCTTTATAACTAGAGTGTGTTCAATAAAAAATAACACGAGTCAAAAAATGTGTTTATTGGGAAATATCGCACTTTGTTATTTTTATGTGTAGAAATAGTTTTCTAATATAGTTTTATATATATTCTTATACAACCTGTAGTGTTTATACCATAATTTACTCAAATAAACATTGCTAAGAATTGTTTAAAACACCAAAAGTAATTGACGTTATTCAACAAAATAAAGATAATAATTATGCCCGTCCGTATACCGAAAACCAGCCATTGTTCTGTGTTTTCTATATCTATAATACCTTAAGATCACTTCCGGTAATTCAAACATTTACTTCCTGCCTCTGCATAGGAGTCATACATTAACATAAAGAGTCTCTCTGTTCTGCATATCACATGTGTCACCAGTGCAGTATCCAGAACACATATATGCAACAAGTCCATTCTAATCTATATTAGTTGTGACACGTTTCTTTCCGATGCTTAAAGTCTTGTAAATGATTTAAAAATATTCCAAACAACAACAAGGTAGTATCTACGGTGCCATAAAGGGGACATAGGATTTTCTTATTTAGGGCCTATAACGTGCGCACGCGATAGCTATAACGTGTGCACGCGAAAGCTATAACGTGTGCACGCGAACACGCGAAAGCTATAACGTGTACACGCGATAGCTAATTCGTTCTAAAGGGATAGTTTTTGTGTGCGTACGCTATAACTATTACGTGCGCATGCGGATAGGTATTCCGCATTTGGACCCTGGACGGGCTTCCTCGCATGAATAGTTTGACACCCCAAGTGTCGAACATACAGAGCTTAGAGGAAATTGTGTTTTTTTTTTATTACTTGGCCATGGAGGCCCCTAAATGAACTAAGGAAGAAAATGAAAATACCATTCCTAGTATTTTGTTTTCATTAGAAATATATATTTATAAAAAATATCGCCATTTTCCGAGAATTTCATTTTGTGCTTTCAGATTTGCCATAGAAAAAAATTTACAACGTATATGAGTTCTTAAAAGAATTCAAGTAATGCCATAAATCGGGCGAGACGCGACATTTATGCGAGACACGATATTGTAACACGAGATCTAGCTATGTCTAAGTATTCCGCACCACGAGATTTCACGGTAGGATGTCGTGCCCCGCTTCATGTTTTGACGGAATTTCGCTTTTGGTGTCTCTTGGTAAAATATAGTGTATCGCTTCGTGTCTGTGCTTCTCATAGGCTTGACTATGGTAAATGAACCATCTGGAGCCATCTGGCCTTGTTGCATAATTGCGGACAGGTTATTTGACACTATTTATTCACTTTGAATGTCCATAGACGTCTAAATTAAAGCTGTTTCCTGATTAAATTTCATCATTTTTGGTCGAAAAAATGCGAGCAAAGGTTGCATTTGATGAAGTGAATTTCAGTTTCAGTATTTATGGGTCTTCCCCGTCACAGCAGTTTGATTTTAAGTGACTTTAAAATAAGCAAATGTGACGCTAGAAATTTTCCTTAGAACATACATGACCCCTGTTATATCAGTTATATCATAACTCTTTAAAATCAGATAAAGCTTTGTTCTCTTAAGTGAGTCCAGCTATGTTTTGTAGATCTTTGAAAAATGTCAGTATTATATAAAACATTAAGGGAATACTAGTAAGTGGTATATCGCCTCAAAGGAGTTTCTTGTCTCGCGTCGACCTACGAGATGCAAAGCGTGACGCGAGATTCCGACAAGATGCGAAACAAATGACAATATGGTATCGTTAAAATAACGCCCGATTACGGTGTTCAGTTTGGACATAAGTAACTATTTTGTCTTCCTTAACTGCGATGTACGACGGTACAATGGCGAAAGCGCAATGGTAAGACGATGACACGATGATAAAACAACGATGAAACGATTGTGAAATCACGATGATGCGATGACACCATGGTAAAAATAATATCGCGTTTTCAACATCATGCCATGGCAGTTTCATCAGCGCACAATCGTATTCTCATTATCGTACCATCGTGCCATCGTGAACGGGATTCCATATGATTCAGTGGTCAGCAAATCAAATTTTTGAATTAGATATTATAAGTATTAATAGTTATTTCATAAAAAAACATTAGCAAACGTATTGCTGATCACACTTGACACGAGGTTAAACGGCGAACCTCGTTTCTATAAAAAAATCCTGCCTGAGAAAACATGTGAAGTAATTCATAGAAAATGACATGAGACAAATGTGCTTTCTTGTCCCTTAAAAAGACATGAGACAAATGTGCTTTCTTGTCCCTTAAAAAACTTGATATGGAGCACATTTGTCACACAAATGAGTTTTTTTGGAAAGACATTTGAGGTCCCATTTGTCTCATGTGAGACAAATGCGACCGCATCGGTCTTACGTGAGACAAATGTGTTCCGAGACAAATGTGCTCCTACAGGGCGGCGCCGAAAAAGTGCTCAATTTTTTAAGCAACATTTTTTAAACGAAAACTTATGTTTGGGGCCCAAATAGGACATTTTTTAACTATTTGAGACCTAAAAAAAGGGGGGGGGGTCGAAAGTGCGTTGTTTCGCGTATATATGTGGTAAAGGGTTAACAAAAGTTCGGGGAAAATATGTTTGCTAGTAACAATACGAATGCTTACATGTTTACGGTTTTATATATATTGGTATTCAGAGGTGCATTACTGGTACTGGTACTGCAGTACGTACTGCAGCGATTTTGCAAGTACTGGTACTGATACTGAATTACTCTTACAAAATTTTGCTACTACTGGTACTGGTACTGCATTACTGTCTTAAAAAGTGGTACTGCTACTACATTACCCAGTACTTTTGGTTTTGATAAAAATTAAAAGTAACATCAATTTTTCTCATAAAATAAAGCTGTAAATTACATTAACTATATTTTACTTTTGTGGAAAAGTAAGTTATCAAATTTAAAGATAATTTGTTGCAATGTTCCTTCAAATGTTAACATAGTATTCATCATAAAAAGCACTTTAAGTAAAAATTAAATTAAGATAAACACACTCAATAACTCTTTACCCTAAACTATCCTTATTAAAATCTTTTATTACTTTGTATTTACTAGTAAAAGAGCAAAATAAACACTTATTAATTTCTTCTATTCTATAAAATCCCATTTGAAGTGAAAAAAAGTGATATTGTTAGCACCATAAAAAGTTGTTATTTACTTTGGTATAAATTGAACAGAGGTGTGAAGGTATGAAAGGCAACAAAAGACTGTTGTGTTTTAAATGAAAGATGTTTTCATTGTTTTTATACAGTTGACTGGTTACTAAACAATTAGATATTACATGAATATATACTGTAAATATTGTTTGTAAAAAGTATGTTAAAACTATGAAGTTGTAAATATGTTATGTTAACTTTAAAGCAGCACGCCTCCAGATTCATCCTAATTTTCATGAAAATTTTGAAAATGTATTTAAAGGTAAAATATTGTTACATGAACAAAGAAAGTACTTGACACATTACAATCGCACTTAAAATCCACGTAAATTACCAAAAAGAGGTCAAAACATGCATAAATAGCCCCTACTGCGTTAGTAACGCAGTAGAAATATGGTGATAAATACAACAAAATACAGTCATTAATTGCACATAAGATATAAATTATCACTTGAATCTTTAATTTGTTTACTTTTCTCAAAGTTTTAGTATTTTTTTTCCAAGTTTAATTTTCTTGAAATATTTTGGGTCATCTGGAGGCATGCATCTTTAAAGTAAATTATGATTTTATTTCTTTGCTGAATAATATTTGCAATTATTTGTTTGACACTGTATTTAATCAAACTTTTATGAATGTATAAAAGTAATGGTACTGATACTTAATTACTTCACCAAAAAAAGTACTGGTACTGCAGTACTGAGCTAAAATCTAGTACTGGTACTGGTAATGGTACTGCATAATTTGCCAAGTACTGGTACTGGTATTTAAGTACTACACCCTTAGTACTGATGCAGCTCTGTTGGTATTAGTTGATTGCATTGATACTGTATCATTTATGAAAGTGATGGATGCATTTATTAATAGGTTTACTAGTATACTGGTATATGTTTATATATATGTTTGTTGAATTGTAATGGATTGTATCATCTTTACCCAAGTGCTCTATACAATATATACTATATATTCAGAATTTTGGTTTTGTTGTTGTTCTATTTAGTTGATACAAATAGATCAGTAAAGGTCAAAGGAATTATCAATCTTTGGCTATAAAAATAGTTGCGGAAAGTTCAGAATATGATAATTCATACACATATTGTGCAATCGTATCACGCATACGATTTTTAAAAAGAAAATGAAAATGAAAAATATAAATAACAGTTCATTTTCATACTGTGTTTTATTTTTATTTTTGACCTGGTTATGTCAGTTGATTGAAACTGGTACTTAGCCAGACAGATTCCACGATTCATACGACGCAAATATTGCTACTGGCTTAATACGATATACATATTTAAAACGCATTAACAAACTTTCATTGTATACGCTTAAAATTAAAAAGAAAACAAAAGAGGAATTATAAGCGTCTAAACATAGTGGTGCGACGGGCAGTGTCCGGTGCCAAGAACAAACTATGTCTGTGTCTTTCAGTAAATTGGAAAAAAAACATGTTTAAAACACTACTTCCCCTTCAATGCAGTCATTTTGGAATTTGTTTCATGAATGTTTACTTATATATAAATGTAAACATTTTCTCTGGTTTAACAAATTTAATTGGCAAAGTAATGTTGCAAGTCATCAAAATACCAGAGAAAGTTTTTCCCATCTACTAATGGATGCCCAGTTTGTTTTTTTCCAAAGAAAATGATCTTTAAGAATTAAACTATATAGCATACTTAATGCTCATTATATTAGATGGACTAAAGCCGGTTTTCCTTCATTTACACGGAAAATATACATATACTAACTTTTTTGTACCCGGTCATATTGTTTTGCAGTAAATTACGAACTTGAAAAGCAACTCTTATTTGACTTTGGCTATACATCGTGAAAATGTAAAAATTGAAAAACTTGCACAACCCATAATATCACGATGGTAAGATTCAATAATGTAAACTACACTTCATTGAAAATTTTCTTCCGCGTTCCAAGTTGATCTATTGTTTGTAGACTTTCGACGTATACATAACGTCTGGATCGGAACAATATATTACGGCTAACATCAGTTTAAAACCCTGACTTGTTTCAATGAAATATATTAGTTAGTGAAATCGCTCAATTTAAATATATGTACATGTATGTATGTAATATCTAAAAAGGGACAATATAATCGTTACAAAAAATGGCGGATAGTGGAAGTAAAATAGGAGAGGGTGATGAAGTTCCTGGTCGTGTGGAGGAAAACTTGTGTCAACCATGTTTAAGTAAGGATAAGGAAACCTTAGCTGACAAGTTTTGTTCAACTTGTAATGAATTCCAATGTAATGATTGTTCAAATGTACACAACGTGCTCGCAATCTTAAAAAATCATAAATTGGTGAGTGTGAAAGAAGATGATGTTGCAAGTATTTCGGTTAAAATGAAGGCCTTAGATCTATGTGATCAACATCAACGTTCTTTAGATTTTTTCTGTGAAGATGAAAAGAAGCTTTGCTGCAGTACTTGTGCTATTTTTAATCACCGGAAATGCCATAGCGTTGTAGAAATTGAGAAGATCGCTGGGAAAATAACCTCACCAAGTTCTATCTTAGGGGAGAAATTGAAGGAAGCTAAAAAAGCTGCTGAGAGTCTTGCGAGACATATTCGCTCTTCTAAGGATCAACTTGATAAATATATAAAAGAAATACATGTCAATATTAGACGAATGCGAGACGAAGTAATGAGAATGTTTGACGATTTAGAAGATTCCGTCGTCAAGAGAGCTAAAACTCTTCAGAAAGAAACATTAGAAAATCTGAAAAAGAAACAAACCATTAACGAGAATCATTTGGCTGATGTAACATCGTGCTTAGAGACGATTGAAAGTATTTACAAAAATGGAACTCCAGTACAAAAATATATAGCGGAACAGAAAATGGAAAGTAACCTCAATGTTCTATGCAGAAACATCAAGGACGAATGTCAGACTTTAGAGCCAGTGAACATTTCTTTTCATTTTGACGAAACAATCAAGATGCCACCATTACCAATCACTGAATATGTTCCAGGACAATTACAATTAAAGTTTGATTGGCAGGAAGATGTTAATTCCGTTGACAAGGCAATGATTTTAAAGCCAGTTTCTATCATTGATTTGAAGAAGACGGGAGATGATATCAAAGAACCGTTATATACAGGCATAGATTTTCTACCTGATGGTAGACTGGTGGCTGTGGATAACAAAAACAAGAAATGTTTAGTGTACAATGAAAAGCTTGAGAGAGTAGAATCATATCAGCTGTCTTACTCACCATTATCTGTTGTTGTTGTATCTGAGGAGGAAGTAGCGATAACATGTGGTTATGGATACAAAATAGAATTTCTACATGTTAGTAAATGCAATGAAATAACTTCAAGTAGGACATGTAATGTGAACACGAAATATTACTCCATATGTTTGAAAGATGATAGACAGTTTGTAGTAGGCACTTTTGATGAGCAAAGACCTGTTCGTATTGTATCATTTACAGGAGATGAGCTTGATTTTAGTGTAAACTTTCCAAATAAGAGATGTCCTGCAGATATAAACGCTAGTACTTACATAAAGAGCAGCAACAAAGTTGTGATAACAGATAGAGACGAGCATACTGTCTACATATATGACATCAAAACAGACACGAGAGTTGTAGTGAAGGATGATCAGATAGAGGGACCATATGGTGCAGCAGTTGGTCCTTCTGATACTATCCTAGTGTGTAGTGGTAAAAACACTATTTTACAGATATCTCAAACAGGTCAGGTATTATCATCGTACAAGATAGATATGGAAAATTCATTTAGAGTATGTGTCTCGCATGATAAATCATTTCTTGTTGTAACAAATTACTGTGTTGGAAATAGGAAAATGCAGAAATTCAAAATATCAACATAACAGCACATTTCTGTTTCACATAAAAGATTCACACGCACAACGCACAGGTACGCGCACGCACACGCACGCACACACACAATTTTATTAAAGAATGAAACAAGAATCTATCGGTAACATATGATGAATAGATCATTGAATTATACTTATGGTCTAGTACTAATGTAGCTGCTCATAACGAAAGAGATATTATATATAGAATACAAGAATATTCTGGGAAAATGTGTGCTCTTCAAAATGAAGTCAATGTATGCTATGACAGACAGATTAAGGAGTAAACAATTCAATATTAATAATTTCAATAAATATTCAATTGATATACGAGGGGAAGTCAGAAAATATCCGGACTTTTGACTCGTTCTCGAAAACCATTCAACATTTAAAAAAAATCTTTCTACTCTTTTTCAAAATATTCTCAACATAAGTCTACGCACTTTTGCTATCTTCGTTGGAGCTTTCGTATTTAGCATGGCTTATATGTAAAGTAGTTGCGTTCTGAACCATCGTTATCTTATGTTTTTAATCATCACATAATGTTGACTGTATTTCATACATTTGATTGTTAATATGAATTTGCTGATTTGTTTTTGTTAAACAATTTGTGATAATACGTTCTTTTTATATCTTTACCCCTCAAATCCTACCTGACCTGAAAGTTATTAACCTTTGCCATCCGTATACAGCCAAGCAAGCATGTACATTCGAGCTGTCTGATCAGCTTTTTTCTATCCTAATACTGAAATCTTATACACTTCAAATGGAATCTCCCAAACTCCATTTCACGGCAAGCAGGTCAATTTTTAATAACATGTAAGTTGAAAAGATAAAGTTTACATCTGTTTTTTTTTACTTCAGTTGACTTTCCTATTATAAGATACAGTATATCATAATATAATATACATGTTTATGTATAGAATTATTGTTAACCATTACATGAAAGTTATGTTATAAAATGTATATATTTTACTGTGACCTTTATTATACCTAATACATGTATCATGCTCTTCGGGATGAATAGATATAACTAATACGAATTATAGTATGTGTGTTTAATTATATTGCTTTATGTCTGAATATCATTTACATGTAAATTCCTCCCTTTTTAGAAGTTTTTTTTAACATATCATAATATAATAAAAAAGTAGATATTTATGGAATTATTGTTAACGATTTCATGAAAGTTGTGTCAGGAAATGTATATAATTTATTGTGTCTTATCATATACAATGTACCTACTATCATGCTCATCAGTATGAATAAATATAACTAACCGGAGTTTCAGTATCTGAGTTTTATATTCTAATTGCATTGCCTTATCATAACAGTGCAAGAATTAATGATCTCGAATTCACGATTTCAACAACACGAATTTATGATTTCAACTCGAAGAAATTAACTTAACAATTTTACGTTTTGAGTTTCACAATATCAACTTGACAAATTCGTGATTTCAACTTCACGAATTCTTTATAGAAGATTCATAATTTTTTAATTATAGTGAATTCATGACAGTTAAAGCAGCACGCCTCCATATTGATGCTAATTTTCATTAAAATTTTGAAAATGTATTTGAATTCGTACTATTGTGAAGGGACCAAGGAAGCAATTTACACATTATCAATGGCACTTACCAAAAAGTGGTCAAAATGTGCATAAATAACCTTTATTGCGATAGTAATGTAGTAGAAATATAGTACTGTTATAAATACTGAAAAATCAGTCATTAATCACACATTATATTTAAAATATTACCTGAATTTTGAAACAATGTACTTTTCCTTTCATCTTAGTTCATTTTTCTCAAGTTTTACTTCATTGAAATATTTTGACTCATCTGGAGGCATGTAACTTTAAAATCTTAAATTGAGTGGCTATGCAAATATCAGACATAATGTAAAATGCCAGACATTTCATAGAATATAGATGACAAACAATTTAATGATATACAATTAACAGACATTTTATAGTATATAAATGGGTGACATTTGGCTAAAAGTTATGTTATATAAGCATGTGAGCAAGGCCCAGGGAAAAGCGTAAAATGAATGTTTCTCAATAGTTCGTTGGGCCAAGTTCCAATCCGGTCTTTTAATTCAATGTGCAATCGTTTATGTCTCTTTATATACGTCTTAATCATGCCTATGGAAAAAGACTATGTCTAGACGCAATACATATACAATAGGCTCCTTATTATATAGGCCTCATAACCTCTGATCACCTTCTAGTACCGCCCATAGTTTTCTCGTTTAAGGCACTTTAATTCTACTGCGTTACTAACGCAGTAAGAGGTTTTTATGTATATTTTGACCTCTTTTTGGTAATTTACGTAGATTGTAAGTGCCGTTTGCAAGGTGTAAATTACTTTCTTTGTTTACTTCACGTTATGTTACTTTTAAACACATTTTCAAATTTTCATGAAAATTTGCATGAATCTGGAGGCATGCTGCTTTAAAGAAAAACTACCCAATTCCAGAAGTTCTCCTGGTTCTTTAACGTGCCAAGTGAACGTGCCAAGTGTTTAAGCACTCATATTTAAAATCTCATCCGAAAGACTGATTAGTAATTTTAGCTGGCCAGCCCGGGAATCGAACCTCCAATAACGTGATTACAAGTCTTGTGCTCGTTGTGTGGGCTGGTCACCTGCATTGGCATTAATATTTCATATTTCAGACTGCCTTGAATAAATTTAAATTGTAATTACCTCTTAAATATCTAAAAAATTTAATAGATTCATTGATAGAATAAAATGCTTATTAAATATAAGTGTTTTATTTTTTTATCTTTTGTAGAATAAAAAGCAGTATTTCAAATAACACATTTACTTTGGTAAATCGGCTAATTAGTTATTTGTCAAGTAAATTAATTGACTGTTTATAAAAAATATAATTTCAGACACTACAGTACTGCAGAACATTGGAGAGATCCAATTCACATACATGTGCATACATTCTTTATTTCAATTTCACCAATGTAGACAAATAAAACTCTAATAGTACATGTAGTAGTAGACAAATTAATTATAAGAAATAAATTGCCACTCATAAGATGAGGACGTCTATTACATTTTTGTCACATGCACAAATTCCTGGCCAAATCTTCAAAAACACGCGCTTTTCGCCTGTCAAATAGTTTATGTCTAAGCCCAACCCCGCCAGCTAACCATGTTCTGTCTGCCCCCGTTTCTTTTTTAGAAATTTCAGCATTTAAATTTTGAATACTGCTTAATCGGTGCAAGGGACGTGAACAGTAGCTTGCACTTTCCAGTACTGTCCGTCTGGGACAGAATATAACAGTTAAAAATATTTTGGTCTGTCAATGGGTTCAATCAAACCACGGATTTATATAATATAATTGTATAAATCCGTGATCAAACCAAGCGTGAAACATTTTTGGACTTTCTATTTTCTCTTTGTTAGCATGCATGCCTTACATTTGTTTTGCCTAGATGTAAAATATGTTGCCAAACAAAGTTTTATTTATAGGTCGCTCACGGAGTAGTAAAAAACACCACCACAAAAAACGCTGATTTACGGTATCAGGATGTCACGTGACGGTGTAATGACTCATGTGACTTAATCGTAAGTTATGTGATACCAAATTATTACAAAAAAATGGCGGCTTGCAAGACGGGAGTAATTTTATCGGCACTGGCTTTCTTTGGTAAGAAAATTCGTTCAATTTAATATGATTAATTAAATATTTCTTACTGAATAACTCGAAACTTTTAAGTGGTAATTAGAACAATGTTCTTCTGCGGCTTCCATGCTTCTGCACAAAATCAAACTTGAAAAAATTTGTTTACAAAACGTTTTTGTTGACATGACACATGAGCTTTTTTCCTGTTTTAGTATTGTTTAGAAATATACATATGTATGTTGAACACTTTCGTCTGTGAGGGGGCTACCACTACCACAGTATTCGCCACGCGCATGGTTCATGCAGCTCGTTGATGGTCCCCGTCCTTCTGACATTGAAGGACAGTGCGTGCATTTTCCTTTTTTTATAAATTTACATTTGTCTGAAAATGCGAATAGCGATATCTAGCGGTTTGGACAAATGTGATAAACGGTAAATGTCTAAATTTTTTGGACTAAAAAGTCAATGATATATGTGACAAAGGGTTACAAGCCCCCCCCCCCACTGTAAGAATCGTTTATTACCACTCACAAAGTTGATAAGCAACAGTCGGAGGGTACCTAATATGATTTCGGAATCTGAACGTGCGCCAACGGTCGTTACCCTCATCCCTGGAGACGTACTGCCTAATGTAATCGTGCTCTAGTCAATTGGAATGTCAATGACGATAAAATAACATTAAAGATTAAAATAAGCAAAAAACCGTTAAAGCGGAATTCTTTCCATAGTAAGTGCGATCTTTGATCCACTAGGACTAGTATCACATGTGACGTTGCGTGCTAAGGCAATTGTACAGAGCCTTTGTAGGAATAAGATAGGGTGGGATGAAACCATTCCGCAGAAAGAAATAGAAGAATGGCAACAGTGGATAGCAAATCTACCATCGTTAGAAAAAATTAGTATTGACCGTTGTTTCCGTCCAAATCACTTCAGTAAATTGAAGAACGTACAGCTGCACGTGTTCAGCGATGGGTCAGAGACAGGTTATGGCGCATGAGCATATTTACGATTGACGGATAAACAGAATAGAATTTCATGCAGTTTTGTTATTGGTAAATCTAGATTAGCACCAATAAAGCAAACAATCATTCCAAGATTAGAGCTGTGCGGAGCTGTAGTGGCATGCCGCGTTTATGCTTTGTTGTCAGAAAAACTTGACTTAAAGGTCGACCAAGTTACATTCTGGACGGATTCCATGATATTACTTGGGTATATAAACAACAAATTAACAGACGATTTAAGACATTCGTCGGTAATAGAATAAGCTACATTCACCAGACTTCGTCCCCTGAAAAGTGGCGTTATGTCGATTCCGGTTCGAACCCAGCTGATATTGCTTCGCCGGGCATCCATCCAAATGACATTCATAGTCTTAAAATATGGCTAGAGGGACCAAAAAATACTTATTGGAAGACGAATCGACTTGGCCTAAACTCCCACATAAGCTTCAAATTGCAGATGATGATTCCGAAGTTAAGAGAGAGATTATTGTTAATACCACCGCATCGTAAACAGGATCTCATATAGAAGACCTCATTAACTATTTTTCCGATTGGACAATGTTGCTTATAGCAGTTGCTTGGTTACTGAGAATTTCATAACATATTGCAGACGACATCACTTGACTTTGAATGAACAACAAAAACGAGGAAATCTTACCGTTTCCGAGATAAAGAACACAACTCACGCTATATTACGACAAATACAGAACTCAAGCTTTAAACAGGAACTGAACGATATAAACAAAGGTAATCCTGTAAAAAGAAACAGTAGATTAGCTACATTAAAACCCATACTTGTTAATGGACTTAAATCCGTGTATATGGAAGAAATACCCATAAAGAATATGATTCGTGCCCGATTATCCTTCGGGACGATAGTCACGTGACAGAATTGATTACTGTATTCCTAGAAATGTTCGCGGATACAATATTTCGCGTTTTTCACAACGTCGGCATTTTCGCGGATTTGTAGTATGCGCGATTTCCACAAATATTGAGTCACTATGGCATAAATTAAATGGCAGTAAGGAGATTATGCACGTCTTTTTCTTTTGTTCCTATGTTGAAAATTCTGGTTGCTATGGCAACAAATAGTGTGAAAATATGGCAAATTTAACACATAAACTGGATCCAGTGATAACTCAAAAAGTACTGAAAATATTTTTATGAAACTTGAAATATGTGTAGATGGCAGTATGGAGATTATGCACATCTTTTTCTTCTCTTCCTATGTTGAAAATTCTGGTTGCTATGGCAACAAATAGTCTGAAAATATGGCAAATTTAACACATAAACTGGATCCAGTGATAACTCAAAAAGTACTGAAAATATTTTATGAAACTTGAAATATGTGTAGATGGCAGTCTTGAGATTATGCACATCTTTTTCTTTTCTTCCTATGTTGAAAATTCTGGTTGCTATGGCAAAAAATAGCCTGAATTTCAAGATTTCTGATTTAAATTTTTCAGTTTTTTCACTATACGTTCTTTATTTCTTAAGGTGTTTACTTCAAACTTTAAATATAAGTTTATGGTCATCAACCACATCATAATTATGTGACAAGGTTTACAACTCTAGCACAAAAATTATCAGTATTACCTCCCTTGAACTTAGAATTTTTATGAAAAAAAAATGTTGTCTTTTTGAAATAACTTCTTTATTTCCTAATGTATCTACTTCAAACTTCATATAAATGTTTGTTATTATCACTCAACATTTTTGCGAAGGTTAAATACTCTAGCAAGACTATTTCCAGAATTATGTCCCCCTTGAACTTAGATTTTTTTTCGAGAAATTGGTATTTTTTACTCCAACTTCTTCATTCCTTATAGGATTTACTTTAGAATCCCACATCGTAGTTATTAAATATGACAAGGTTGTATAAACATAATTTCCTTACTAAGCAGGGAAACTTAACACATTACTGTGATATAGACAAACTTAGAACTCAAAAGATTTAAGTTCATTCATGTCATTCATTCACTGGTAAAATTGAATGGCAAATGGCCCATCAGAATGTTGCTGGGGTTCTAACCGGTAGGGGACTTAGAGGATTGCTTGCAATACTATGATAATTGCTTGTTTTATTCAAATCATTCAGAATCCATATTATTTTATAGTAAACACAAATATCTATAATATGAACTTTAAAACCTTAACATTTTTAATGTCATTACCAACACTTGCTAACACTAAATGTATTTACAGTGATTTTTTTATTTAGGAAAAACTGTGTTGTAATATTATAGCCCCCCTTTTGGAAAATGTTTAGCCCCCGGGGCGTTTATGAGGTATTTTACCGTATATAGAAGCGCATACTCGAAAAGTCTAGTTGTTATCCGAAATCCTTTACACACACAAACACACACATACACCATTTAGTTGTACATAGGCGATCTCTGCCCATCTATATATCTCTGCCACATGGAAATTAAATAAAAACATGCACATGATATATATATATTTTATATTAGGCCCCAGTAAGAATACTGTTCCACGGTTTTGGCATCCTTAAGTATAGCCAAGCTCACATGTCTCATTTAGTTTAACCGATTAGATCTAGTTGATCACAGTGTCCAAAGATACTTGTGACTTGGGGTTATATGTGTTGCTCCCCTTCTTGATCCACACTTAATTACGGTATATACATCACAGTTAAATTAAATTTGCAAACTTTACGTCATATTACTTCTGCATATTGTATTTTAATGCAGTGTTCGAAATTAGCAGTAGTCCGATAGATAATAAGAGAATAATAAGCTTCCAGTTCCCAAATACTTTAAATCATGAAGTTTAATGACTGAACACTAATAGTGATATTCGCCAGCATTTACATATCGCTTACAAATATCACAAGATGAAAAAAAGTGCAATGTATATGTATCATAATAGAAAAAAATCTTTTCACAATAGGAATATGCTATGGGTTACCTAGCAAAGTAGAAGTGAAAGAAGATCCACCAGTATGGGGTGAGGTATACAGTGTTCAGGGTATGCTACAGCTTTCATACGCAGAAATTAACGAACCTTTCTCTACTTGGTATGACTCGACAAAGAAAAGGAGTAGGATTGACTACCATGGAGGTATGCATTATATTTTAGTGTAAAATGCAGGGCAGGCAAAATCTGATTTTGATTTACAAGTACTTGTCCATTTTATCTGAAATCTTTCCTTACTTACCTTTACGATATACAAAAAGTAAATTTTGAAAACAAAATGTCACTTGTCTGTACAGGTTGTGGGACAACCTTGGAAATATAGACAATTGATTTTGCCACCCTGAATTTAACTGAGTTTAAAATGTTGACTTGATAGATGTAGACAGCAGAGAGCTGTATTAATATTGAACCTTCCGGCATCAAATATATCACATACATGCTCATTGAACAGTTTATTATAAATCTAAGAAATTAGTACAAATTTTAACACAGCTGAGTTACCGCTTGTTCTTCTTAGAGTAAATTATAATTTAAAAGATTTTTGACAGGTTATATGGCCGTAGTATATAAACAGTTGTTTAGAAATATAACCTGAGCCACTAAGTGAGGGTGTTTTACAAACAACCATTCATATACTGTCTTATAACCTGTCAGAAATATTTATAACAAATTTACAATACAGCATGCATCTTTTTTTAATCATAAATTGACAGCAATGGCTGCCGTTGATATAAAACTATGTAAACATCATGATTATCCTGTTACAAATAGCAGTATTATAAATAATGAAGGGCTAAAAAAAGCAAGAACTTTAAAAGGTATTCTTATTTTTAAGGTATTATCTTGGTACTGAATCCCGCCTTCCCCTTCCATTCTTGAATAATAAAATGCCCTTGAGACTTTTATAAGAGATTATATTTAGTAATTTTTATGTATAACTCAACATTTTTTCAGTAACAATGAAATGGATTACTAGACTATAAACCTTTGCTCATTTGTCCAGTCAATACTGATACATATTAGTAAATAAAGACCCTGTCGCACTAGACTGCGCGTTCACTGCGTTTGCACGGCTGTGTAAAAATAAAAGCGCCGTGCACACGCAGTATAAGCGCTGTATTTAGGATGCTGCAAATCTCCGTACAAGCGCTGTGGATAAACACCACGTTCATTTGGCGTTCCTTGTGCGCTTTCAAGGCACTCTTGTTGCGTTGTAGGAGATGCTACAGAGTTGCTATTGCGTCCTTACTGCTATTCCACTGTGCTCTTATCAGAATGCCGAGTGACAGAGTTTGTTTTGAACATGCTCAAAATGCATGCCATCGGCATTTTATGCGATGGCACTAGATGCTAAGGCAATGATGCGGCAACATTTGAGATCTAACTGTGCTCACCTAAGCATTTCAAATTTTCTTTGGACGTCGTGAGAATGCCATCCTAGTGTGACAGGGGTTTAAACTACAAAAAGTAAATAGGTGTCTGATAGTCTGATATCATTTTATCCTTGACAAGTGCTAAAGTCTTTCTTACTCTTATATAAATGAGGGAAGAAAATGAGAATAAAAAATATAGGATTATGATTTGATTATTAATAATTATGTGGTTTATTTCTAGGTATGGTCATGACTATACAAAGAGCAGACCTTGGTCAGTATGGGGAGGGTTATAAAGTCGCCCCACTGTCAACATACAAAGTACGAAACTTGATGAGCTGTTTCAAGATGCCAGGATTCTCTGATGCCCCAGTAGACATACAGGTCACACTCCCAGATCTTACTGGATTTCAGGTAATTTTGTTAGCATGTATCTTTAAAAGTTTGGAAATGGCCAGATTCCTCAGGAGAGCAATGAAAGAGATTATACATGTAGACTAGGCAGCTTGTATAAGTTTAATTGATTCAAGCAGCATTTAATCATAAGCATTATCAGCAAGCCATGTTTTAAAGAATTTAACATTCATGGAATAACCCAATAATAAAATGACAAGAATTCAGGGCTATCTCAGGTGTGAGGGTATTTAATTTATTTTTTCCAAAAGAAAATATGTTAAGTTATAAAATTTGTATTATAAACAGGTTTGGTTAATTTACAGAAAATATACGACCAGTTGAAAAATATTTTCTTACAGTGTTACAATATTTTCTTGTACAGTCAACTATCGTTATATTGACACCCCTTTTCTCGATAGTTGAGATAACGAGTGTAGACTGTATGTACTTTCATGCTCGAATGGCTAAAGGTTGCCTGCTTCAAATCATTTTAACCCTAAGGTAAAATTGCCTCTGTAGGTTGGAGTCTTGGCAGAAACGTTGAATTATTTCTTGCGGAGGAACATATCTAATTGACAGAATTAAGGTCACATGTTTAAGCCATGTACAAAGGCACATCCATTTTGTACCTGTGCTAATTAAAAATTGACAATCACAATATAGTATTGAGATTGTCAGTTTCACCTAGCCTGGGTTCCAGTCTGTCAATTTTTTATGTGTTTCTGCTTTCCAAATTGACACTATCAAAAGCACGAACGAGTACGAAATAGCGCGTATGTTATGAATAAGCAAAAACTATCAACGCTGGAATCCCAGGCTAAGTTTCACCAGAAACCCAACTAAAAAAATGTTTTTTGCCTGATATAATTATACAGAATTAGTATTAATATTGAGTGCAAAAACAAGTTAGAATTTATTATTTCACCAATAAATTTATAGATACATGTACTATCCGTTTTAATTGTTTAAAGTGATTTTACGTGTTACAAAAATATAATAGCATTACCTCATTTCTCTCAAATGATTAAGAAGTCTTAAGTTCGAATACAAGACGGAGTGCATAACATTACATTCGAAAACATGCCGTTAAAATTGATCATATAACGACAGATATATGTATACCTACACATTCTCCAAATAGATATTAGTTACTGAAATTGCAAAAGTCTACCGTTTTCTTCCAAATTATTAATTAAAATAAGAGGAAAATGGGGAGGTATAACACATGAACACCGGAGCTGTTTTAGGTTATTTATTTTCTACCGGTGTTGTTTGTATTAATTAGTTTGAATTGCTGATTCTTAGCTACATGTAATAAGTGAAAAACTGTGATTATCCCTTTTAAATCATACAACAAAATGGAAAATTCTTAAGGCTATAAAAAATTATTTTTGTGTTTACAAACACATCCAAAGTGAAAAATTCTTACAACTACTATGTGTTTACAAACATATCCTAAGCAGAAAATTCTTTCAACTATAACAAGTTTTTTTTTGTGTTTTCAGCGTTTTCATTTTCAAATTTGTTTGATAAAGCAAATATACATTATACAAGGAACAAACATAACTCACATTGTTTTCAATGTCAGAACAAAGATATTTATTACGACGTCTGGGGTAAAACAATGTTATCGTTAAAATGAAAGATAAAATTTGTTTTAATTGTGTTTCTAGATTATGTTAAGACAAATATCAAGTCGGGCGAGCTCCAGGTTGACTGTAGTGTCCCAAGTGACGGTGAATATGCCTTGGTAATCAAAGCCAAAGACAGCAAGGAACCAGAATTTAAGCCAATCTGCAACTATCTCCTAACAACATTAGAAAACGAGGAAAAAAGTAAGTTAATGATCAAATCATGTTCATATATACACATATTGCTTTGAAAGACAGATTAATCTGAGTATTTTAATTGTTAATGATTTTGACAGTTGTTGATAAAGTGTTGAATCATTTTGATAACTAAGCAAAAAGCAACTAAACAAAAATATAAATAACCAAAACATAAAACATAATATTAAACACACACACACACACACACACACACACACACACACACACCACACACACACACACACACACACCACACACACACACACACACACACACACACACACACACACACACACACACACACACACACACACACACACACACACACACACACACACACACACACACACACACACACACACACACACACACACACACACACACAACACGCACGCACCAACGCACGCACAAATGATACCTGTTACAAACGAACTGATTTTCTCACCCTAGAATATACATAATTTGCTTTGATATGTATTACATGCTTTTATAATATACTTGTTACAGTGTCCGTTGAATACTACGATTCTTCCGACGGTACATCAGATATTGATGAGGAAATCGACCAACTAGAGACAACTTTACAAGCATTAACCGCTGAGAGGGATAGACTTAAACAAGAAGCGTCGAGGCAATAAATTTGCACGGGAATCGCCGTTACTTATAAATGCAAGAACATTTTAATTGTTAAACATGCAGAAGGTGTTTACCTTTTTGTTCTATTTCAAAATAATGTGTTTACACATGTAATTGTATAGAACTAAAAGTTAGAATAATCTGGTTATAATTATCGTAATATATGCTGTAAAGATAACTAACAGACGTTAAAGGAGCTTCACTGAGGTACGAGAGACTTAGAAGATAACATTATTTCCATACATAGATCAGCTAGGGCAAATATCCAAACGATATTGTAGATATCTTTTCAGAAATTGAAACTAATATTTTGTGCTGTTTTAGTCTATTTCCTGGGACATTTTCAAAGACTCATTTTTTCACAAAAAGAATAAGGATTGTAGCAAAACTGAGTGAGCAAATGAACTTTGGTACATAAGTTATTAGTCTAGCCCTACATCAAATGGAACATTTTTCTATCTCAAAAATCATATCCAGTCCAGTAAAATAATCATGTGACGAGTCTTAGATATATAGCGTTTTAGGAACAATTGTAAGTTAAATTTATATCAGTTTAGATTTGTTATAGGCCTACACACATGATATAATATTACCAGAAAATGTCTAAAAACGGCAAACCGTTGTAATAAGTGTCACTTCTTTTAATTTTTTTTTTAATGTTTCAACAATATCATAAAAATGATGATCACAGGGTCTATGATGACATGATCTGAAAAATGTACATGCATATTAGACATTGAAGTACCAGTATTGAAGTATATTAATCAAAGTTTAGAAGTTTTTTTTTTCTTTTTCTTTTCGTTCTGAAGAAAAAAACCTACTTCACAAACATACAAACAAGTCTATGAATTAGATTCTGCAACACTGATATTACTTTGCTGAGGAAGAAGAAACCTGGAGAAATGAAAGAGATGTTACATGCGTTCGTAAAATATCGTTTAAAGAAGAAAATAATGTATTTTACATTAATTGGTATGTTATTCTTCAAACTAACAATTATCATAGGTGCTTTATATCCATTTGTACGAACGTAAATCCAAAGTAGAGAAAAACAGAACCACAAAGTCCAGAAACGGCAAAAAAGATAAAAAAGGAAATAATACATGCTCGATTTAATTCAGCCTGTTCATCGACGGTACTGAAAAACGAATGTTATCGTTCACGCATCGATATAAGCATAATTCATCATTTAAACATAACAATGGTAAAATGTTTGATTTACCGACATCCTACGATGTATTTATATTGCGGTGACCATGGAACTTTCAATACAATTCCATGAAAAGCAGTGTATGTTCCTCGAGTTAAAGATGCCTGTGCCCTTTATCACACATGATACGTCAGATTTAAAAAGTAAGCAACATACCTTTAGGTTGATTCAATTGTATCAGAGTAGGAATATTGGAACAACTAAGCTTTCAAAAATTGTTTTTTTTTCTAAAGTACCATAACTTGATGGAAATCATATGTGGTCAAGTGGTGAGGCGCTGATCACGAATGTTGTGATTGAAATGATTTATAGAAACTCCTAAAATTCGAAAAAATAGATAGAAAAATGCCGATCATTTTAAACTTTTTTCATATGTGTGTTATCAAAATATCTGCGACTTATAAGTGTTTGTATACTAGAATGATTGTCAATGATTTCCTATGATTCTCACGGCGCTCTCGATAAAATGAAATGTGTTTTACAACTATATAATCATAGAAATGTATATATCATGACAGTAACGTGTCAATGTAACATGTCGAGACAATACCACAACTATTGGAAGTACGTTTTTTTTGTAATGGATTTTCTTCAAAATATCAGGCAGAGCCTGGTTACGAGTAGCAGAAAATATGTCAATGCTGGCACTGCTTATATAACAAATTTCTACTTTCCAAAATTCCACAAACTATTCTCTTTTATATTAATAGTAATATAGCACTATGCTTTTTTATTCTCAACGTTCAATTGGTATCAAACATCTCGAAACGTGGTTATTTTTCGAAATAAATATTTTTAAAATCTCTGAATTGTTGTCATGCTGTATTTTCAACGTGATTAATTACATTGAAAAAAAACACAAGTTTTTTATCGTAAATTAACGTTTTTTGGCTCTTAATAGAGAATGATTTAATCCACGAATGTACGCCACCAATTGGTAATCTTCTATCCATGTTATATATCTAAATACAGATTAAAGCTCGATTAAACTTAAGCTAAAAGATTATTCGTTAATCTTTAACCTGCTTTGACACGAAGGTGATTTACCTTTGTCAGCAGTTTATACCCAGACCAGCAAGCATGCACATCCGTGAAGTTTGACCAGAATCTGCGGTAGTTTTTGTATTTCTATTTTGAATTCTCTAATTGTTCACAATTTAAAGATGGGAAAATCCAGGACATACATTATCAAATCAAGAGTTAATATCGTTGCTATTGCATCATATGATTGACATCATATGATAGATAACGCATGAGATATCAGATAATTAATATTGAAACGTTTATTTTATTTAATCATTTTTAAATCGGAGATGGTTTAATATGTTTGAGAATTAGTTTGGGGCAATTATAAAGTCCCGCTTATTGACTTAACCCGATGCGATTTCCAAAGGTTTGACAACAGCATCGTTTAACAAAATGGCTGATAGTGGAAGTAAAATAAGAGAGAATGATGAAGTTCCTGGTCGTGTAAAAGAAACATTTTGTCAACCATGTTTAAGTAAGGATTTGCAAACTGTAGCTGACAAGTTTTGTTCAACTTGTGATGAATTCCAATGTAATGATTGTTCAAATGTACACAACGCGCTCGGCATCTTGAAAAAACATAAATTGGTAAGTGTGAACGAAGCTTATGCTGCAAGTATTTCGTTTCAAATGAAGGCCTTATATCTTTGTGATCAACATCAACATTCTTTTGAATTCTTCTGTGAAGATGAAAAGAAGCTTTGCTGCAGTAAGTGTGCAATTGTTAATCATCGAAAATGTCACAGCGTTGTAGAAATTGAGAAGATCGCTGGGAATATAACCTCACCAATTTCTACCTTAGGGGAGAAATTAAAGGAAGCTAAAGAAGCTGCTGAGAGTGTTGCCAGACATATTCGTTCTTCAAAAGATCAACTTGCTCAAGATATAAAAGATATACATGTAAAGATTAGACAAATGCGAGACGAAGTAATGAACATGTTTGTCGATCTAGAAGATTCCATTAACAAAAGAGCCGAAATTCTGCAGAAAGAAACATTACGAAATGTGACAAAGAGGCAAACACAAAACGAGAAACATTTGGCTGGTGTAACAAAGTGCTTAGAGACGATTGAAAATATTTTCAAAAATGGAACTCCTGTGCAGATATATATAGCACAACATAAAATGGAAAGTAAAGTCAATGCTCTCTGCAGAAACATCAAGGACGAATATAAGAAATTAGAAAAGATGAAAATGTCTTTTCAATTTGACCAAACATTAAAACTGCCACCATTACCAATTACTGAATATGTTCCAGGACAATTACTAGTAAAGTCTAATCGCCAGGAAGACGTTCATTCTGTTAACATGACGATGACTTTGACACCAGTCTCTGCCATTGGTTTAAAGAAGACTGAAGATGATATCGATGAGCCGTTATATTCAGGTATAGACTTTTTAACTGATGGTAGACTAGTGGCTGTGGATAACAGAAACAAGAAATGTTTGGTGTACAATGAGAGGATTGAGAAAGTAGGATCATATCAGCTGTCTCGCCACCCATTATCTGTTGTTGTCATATCTGAGGAGGAATTAGCGATAACAAGTGGTTATCAAATAGAAATTCTACATGTTAGTAAATGTAACAAAATAAGTTCACGTAGGATATGCAAAGTGAAAACGCAATATTACTCTATATGTTTGAAAGACGATAGACAGTTTGTCGTAGGCACTTATAATGAACCAAAACCTGTTCGTATTGTATCATTGACAGGGAAGGAGCATGATTTTAGTGTAAACTTTCCAAACAAATCATATCCTTTAGATGGTAGCGCTTGTACTTACATAAAGAGCAGTGACAACGTGGTGATTACAGATAGAAACGAGCATATTGTCTACATATATGATATTAAGACAGATGCAAGAGTGTTAGTGAAGGATGATCAGATACAGGAACCACGTGGTGCAGCAATTGGTCCGTGGGATACGATCCTGGTGTGTTGTCGTAATACAAACTCTATTGTACAGATATCTCAAACAGGTTCGATATTATCATCGTACAGGATAGATATGATGCATCCGTGTAAAATATGTGTCTCACGTGATAAATCATTACTTGTTGTTACAAATAGCTATCCTGGAAATAATACAATGCAAAAATTCAAAATATCAACATAACAGCACAATCATTTGTTTCACATAGAATATTTACACAAACATTCAAAGTTATTAAAGATTGAAACAATAATTTTTATGTAAATATAATGGCTGAATCATGGAATTATACTTATGTTCTAACACACGTAAAGCTGTTCATAACAAATAAAAGAGACATTCAAATAAAACAATGTGCTGAGAAAAAGTGTGCTAATCCAAATGTAGTCAATGTATGCTATGACAGACATATTTAATACCGCTAACATCAGGAGTAAAAATATTCTATTTCATTAATTTCAATGATATATATTGATATATTTATTTCATTTTAAGCATACATGCATTTAATTTGAAATTAATCAATTAATCGACACATTGAACTTTTCATGTAGAGACTCCGTTTTCATTTGTTCATCACATACTGTTGATTGTACAATACATTTATAGTCATTTGTTTGTAAATATCAATTTGTCGATGTCCTCAATGTTTTGTTCAAATATGAATGATTAGTCACCACGTTATTTAAATACCATTGATTCCTATATCCTGCCTCAGCTGAAAGTGAATAGGCTTTGCCGCCAGTATACAGCCACGCCAGCATGTACATTCGAGATGTCTGACCAGCCTATTTTCTCTTAGCTCCAGACGTGGGGTGGTTGTCAATTTTTCATTGAATTATTGAAACATTTTACACATCAAATGAACTGTACAAAACTCGAACAGGGCAAGTCCATTTCACAAAAAAAAAACAAAACAAAAAAAAACAGGTCAAGCGTTAATAACAACAAAGTTGATAATTAAGTTGCCTCTTAAGATATAAGATATATTATAACATAATATATAAATTATGTATAGAATTATTGTTAATCATTATATGAAAGTTATGTTAGAAAATGTATATATTTTACTGTATTTTATTATATACCTAATATCATGCTCATAAGGATGAATAAATAATACTCTCTGAAATTATAGTACTTGTATTTTATATCTTGATTGCATTGCTTTGTCTAAATATCATACATATTTCACCCTTCTTGAAGTTTAAAATTCTAAATAAAATAGGGCTTATATAATTACCCGTAAAGTGACATTATGTTCTGTTTATCTGTAACGTTCAATTTGGGAGGTCTTTTCCAAGGGATCACTCTGTTTCCAGATTTTTATACTTAAGGCATATATATTTTATCCTAAACATTTTCTAATATCAGTTTATGGTCAATCACCATTATAACAGTAAATCTTTTGAAATTATAGTCAATTAAACTTTACTTGAAAATTTAAAATGGTGAGAAAAATGTACTTACGTTACAAGGATCTGAACACTGCCATTGTTTTGCTTCTTAGAGAAATGAAAGAATATCGTTATCCATTAAAAATTTATCGGTATGTTATACTACAATTTATTAATTATATAGAGGATATTTGTTTGTGTTTACGATGAAATTTTATTTAATTGAGTTAGCTTTAAAGACAGCATTCTCACGAATGGCGTAGCCAATTTCTTTAAAATCATGCAGTTTTTCCAAAAACATAAATCTGCTTTTTTACTTCCCAAATTAACAATTTTAGCGATAAACTTTCCTTAAATTCAGTGACTAAGGCCTCTTCCCAATGAAGTGAGAAAAATGACTGGACGCACGGTCCAACTTTATGAAACATAGACATATAGCATGACTGTTGTAAAAACCTTAAGTAAATGTTCATTCTAAGAGAGTTAGGTGTGTTTTAAGTAGTGTGATATCTTTTAAACATTAATAACAGTAGAAGGCAGTCACTTTCATAATAGTAGGCGACTGCCTTTGATAGCGGAAAAAAACATAGATGTACATTATTCTGCAATACAATTTTAACTACAAGTTCACTACGGAGGTACCATACAGCTGTCCATTATCAGTTATTGCTGATGGTTTGGCAAATTGTTATTACCTTCTTGCATACTTGATTAAAATGAATACATATTTATCACTTACATATCTGACAGAAATTCAAAATATCATGTTAGTAACACAATCTTCTATTCACATAGAATATTTACACACTCATGCAAAGTTATTTAAGAATGAAACAACAATTTATCGATTACATATGATGAATAGATCATTGGATTTTACTCATGGTCTAGCACTTAGGTAGCTTAGCTATTCATAACAAAAACGACATTCAAATAAAATAATATTCTGGGGAAAAAGTGGCCAAAGTATGTGTTATGCCTGACCAGAAAGTGATTTGCCTTTGGCACCAGTATACAACCAAGCCAGCGTGTACATTTGAGCTGTCTGACGACCTTTTTTCCATTCCAATATTGAAATTCTGTTCTCTTCAAATGGACTGTACCAAACTTAAAAAAATGCGAATCCTTTACAAAAATAAAGCAGGTCCAGGATTAATAACAAGAAAGTTGATAAGATAAAGTTTACATCAGTTTTTTAGCTTCAGGCTTCATTTTTATTATAAGATATATATTTACTGTGCCTTATTATATAATTATCTTATATCATGCTCTTTGGGTTTAAATAAAAATAACTAACCGTAGTTGTAGTATTTGTGTTTTATATTTGAATTTCACGCAGATTTAAAAAAGAAATGTTAAATATGTTTAAGGTCAAATCAATCAGCTAATCAATGATTTTTCAATTCAGATTGTTTTTTAAACGCTCAAAACTTTCAAAATATTTCTTAATAGCGTAATTAATTACCTCTTGAATTTACGTTCTCATCTTCACAAATATACGTTAACAACAACACGATATTACGATTTCAACTTCATGAAATTAACTGCACGATTTTACGTTTTGAGTGTCACAATATCAACTTGACAAATTCATGATTTCAACATTACGAATTCTCGAGAAAAGAAAATAATGATATTGAATTCGTGATTTTGAGATCGTAAATTTATGAAAGTAAAATTTCACCACTGTTCAAGAGGGTCTAAATTAAAAACCATTCCATTTTATACGCAAGTAAAATTTCAAACATCTTTCATTCATCACAAACAAATGTGCTTCATATTAATTAAATAATTTAATCTATTATTCAAAAGGACAATGTAGGAGATGAGAGAATATTGTATTGGAACTATTTTATGGATATTTTACTTTACTTTTCTGACACGCTTTAAATTAAAGTTGCTATGCAAATATGACTTATATAAAATGGGAGGCATTTCATAGAACATAAATGACAGACATTTATTGACATACAAGAAGCAGTCATTTTATGGTATATAAATGGGTGAAATTATTATTAAATTGATATATGTCCGAGCTTTTAAACCGATAGTTTTACATTGTCGCAATATGAACCCAATAAAGGTATGTTTTAGGTTATCAAAGTTCTGCACTTTAATTTATTCAATTAATTATTTTCTCAGGATACTCAACATTTCTATTTAACCCTAAATACAGGTATAAAGTTAACTGTTTCTTATCTTATACCAGATATTTTCGGCTCTCACCTCTGTACTGCTAAGGAAAAGTAACCGTTGCTGATACAATATACTTCTCGTAGCGGTAACTTCCCCTGATCAGTATAGAAACGTGGCATTGAAATATAACACGGCTGTTGTAAAATCCTTAAGTTAATGCTCATTTACTAGTGTGATATCTCTTTAACATTAATAACAGTAGAAGACAGTCAGTAATAATAACAGGCGACTCCCTTTGAAGCGGAAAACATAAATATACATTATTCTGCAATGTTATATACATGTAATAGTTCACTACAAGAGGTGCCATATAGTTCTCCATTATTAATTATTGATGATGGATTGGCAAATTGTTATTAGCTCCTGGTACACTTCAATAAATAAATAAATATTTATCACTAAAATATCTGATCAAATCCGTTTTAATTAAGAATGATCAATTTCAACGAGATCAAAATAAAGTATTACACCAGCACATTAGTGCAGCCGAATTAAGCTTCGTGCTATCGGTAATTTATTTTTTATTTTTGATATATTGTCAATACCGGAAACATGAAAAGAATTGTTCCAAATATAAAGCTGTATAAATCTATTCGACACATTTACCTGACAATGTACTAATATCATCGATATGATATTTATCATTGAGGTAGCATATCTTCCTTAAACACAACTTACTGTTACTAAACGTTATTTTATGTATTTTACAAATTGAGATACTGTCATATGTGACAGGGCGAGACAAATGTGCAGCCTTGTCGGAACTCGAGCCCAAGACCCACGGTGTACTGTTCAACGGCTCTATCGTCTGATCTATCCGGCCGTTTACACCTCTTCTTCCCTAAATATTGCACAGTTTTGAACCGTGACATACTCTCTCGTTATATTGAAATTTGTCCCCGAATTTTTCACAGTTACAGGGAAATGCTAATTAAACTATGAGCTATATGCATTCACGGTCCCCCGTTTGGCGTCAAATGTAAGAGGGTGCAAATGATGAGCAACCTAACCGAGACTTAAACCCGGTACCCTCGGAATACCGTTCCAGGGTCTGCCGACTGAGATATCAAAGTGAACAGTTATAAACCGTGATCGATCTAACTCGTAATCACTCAAAGGGAAAATCACATATCTTACAGCTTTCAATTGCTTTCTGAATTTGAAAACATCAATATTGACATATAGGAGTGTCGATATTTCTTATATTTATCCCCTTGAGAAAAATAGCTCAGTCCTAGTGTTCTTGTCCATACATCGACTAATATAGGACATGATTTTAGAAACGTTTTCTGACACTACAAGACATGGAATAAAGATATTTTGGCTTTCCCTAATATGTTTCTGGGCAAACGTTTATAATTCATGTATCTATAAGATAAATTTGAATGTATTATTTCTTTTTCAGCATAAAGCTAAGTTATTTGGCACGCATCCAATGTTAGATCTAGATACTATGACCGTAATAGTTGTGGTAGTGTTAGTGGTGATAATGTTACATGTAGAGACTATGACAATGATAGATGTGGTAGTGTTAGTTGGGGTTATCTTAGCTGTAGATATTGTGACATTGATAGAAGTGATAGTGTTAGTGGGGGTAATCTTAGCTGTAGATATAGTGACAGTGATAGTTGTAGCAGTGTTACTTCTAGAAATGTTAGCTGTAGATATTCTCACAATAACAGTACTAGTAAAAGAACGAGGTTATGGTAGCGGTGTTGAAACTATAGCATTGATGAGGTGAATGAAACAGTGAGCATTGCCTATATCCTACTGCAATCAAAATCAAAAGTTTTATTTGCTGATCATTGCTGATCATTATCAATCGTTTGCTATAAAAAAATAGTTGCGGAAAGTGCAAAATATGTTTATTCATACACATATTGTGCAACCATATCACGCATATAATTTTTCAAAAAAAAAAAATAAATAAAAAAGAAAAATAAATAACAGTTCAATTTCATACTGTGTTTTATTTTTCTTCATGAAATGGATATTTGACCTGTTTATAGATTGTCAGTTGATTGAAACTGGTACTTAGCCAGACAGATTCCACGATTCATACGACGCAAATATTGCTACTGGCTTAATACGATATACATATTTAAAACGCATTAACAAACTTTCATTGTATACGCTTAAAATTAAAGGAAAACTAAAGAGGAATTATAAGCGTCTAAACATAGTGGTGCGACGGGCAGTGTCCGGTGCCAAGAACAAACAATGTCTGTTTCTTTCAGTAAATTGAAGAAAAAAAACATGTTTAAAACACTACTTCCCCTTCAATGCAGTCATTTTTAAATTTGTTTTATGATTGTTTACTTCTATATAAATATAAACATTTTCTCTGGTATTAACAAATCAAAAATTGGCAAAGTAATGTTGCAAGTCACAAAATAACAAATGATCTTTCAGAATTAAACTATTATTTAGCATACTTAATGCTCATTATATTAGATGGACTGAAGTATTTCCGGTTTCCTAAAACTTCATTTATTTGGGAAATATACATGTACTACTTTTTTATGTACCCGGTCATATTGTTTTGTAGTAAATTACAAACTTGAAAAGCAACGCTTATTTGACTTTGGCTTTAAATCGTGAAAAAGTAAAAATTGAATAACTTGCACAATCCATACTATCACAATGGTAAGATCCAATAATGTAAACTGCACTCATGGAAAATTTACTTCCGCGTTCCAAGTTGATCTATTGTCTGTAGACATTCGACAGATAACGTTTGGATCGGAACAATATATTACGGCCAACATGAACATTTTATTTAGTTAATCAGTTTAAAACCCTGACTTGTTTCATTGAAATATCTAAGTTTGTGAAATCGCTGAATTTAAATATATGTACATGTACATTTATATATGTAATATCTAAAAAGGGACAATATAATCGTAACACAAAATGGCGGATAGTGGAAGTAAAAAAGGAGATGATGATGAAGTTCCTGGTCGTGTGAAGGAAAACTTGTGTCAACCATGTTTAAGTAAGGATAAGCAAACTGTAGCTGACAAGTTTTGTTCAACTTGTAATGAATTCCAATGCAATGATTGTTCAAATGTACACAACGTGCTCGCCATCTTGAAAAATCATAAATTGGTGAGCGTGAAAGAAGCTGATGTTGCACGTTTTTCGTTTAAAATGAAGGCCTTAGATCTATGTGATCAACATCAACATTCTTTTGAATTTTTCTGTGAAGATGAAAAGAAGCTCTGCTGTAGTAAATGTGCTATTGTTAATCACAGAAAATGTCACAGCGTTGTAGAAATTGAGAAGATTACCGGAAAAATAACCTCGTCAATTTCTATCTTTGGGGACAAATTGAAGGAAGCTAAGGAAGCTGCTGAGATCGTTGCGAGACATATTCGCTCTTCACAAGATCAACTTGCTCAAGATATAAAAGAAATACAAGTAAAGATAAGACGAATGCGAGACGAAGTAATGGAAATGTTTGCCGATCTAGAAGATTCCTTTAACAAAAGAGCTGAAACTCTGCAGAAAGAAACATTACAAAATCTGACAATGAAGCAAACACAAAATGAGAAACATTTGGCTGATGTAACATCGTGCTTAGAGACGATTGAAAATATTTTAAAAAATGGAACTTCAGTACAGAAATATGTAGCAGAACATAAACTGGAGAGTGAAGTCAATGCTCTCTGCAAAAACATCAAGGAGGAATGTCAGAACTTAGAGAAGGTGAACATTTCTTTTCAATTTGACGAAACATTAAAACTGCCACCTTTCCCAATTACTGAATATGTTCCAGGACAATTACAATTAAAGTCAAATTGCCAGGAAGATTGTGTTGACATGACGAGGAAGTTAACACCAGTTTCTTCTGTTGATTTGGAAAAGACGGGAGATGATATCGAAAACCCGTTCTATACAGGCATAGATTTTCTACCTGATGGTAGACTGGTGGCTGTTGATAACAAAAACAAGAAATGTTTATTGTACAATGAGCAGCTGGAGAAAGTAGGATCATATCAGCTTCCTTACAAACTATTATCTGTTGTTGTAGTATCTGAGGAGGAAGTAGCGATAACAAAATGGTATTGATTATTATATAGTATTTCTACATGTTAGTAAATTTAATGAAATAACTGCAAGAAGGACATGTAAAGTGAAAACGAAATATTACTCAATATGTTTGAAAGATGATAGACAGTTTGTAGTAGGGACTTATGATGAACCTAAACCTGTTCGTATTGTATCATTGACAGGAGAGGAGCATGATTTTAGTGTTAACTTTCCAAACAAGATATATCCTCTAAAAACTAGCGCTAGTACTTACATAAAGAGCAGCGACAAAGTTGTGATTACAGATAGATACGAGCACACTGTCAACATATATGATATCAAGACAAACACGAAAGTCTTAGTCAAGGATGATCAGATACAGGGACCACGTGGTGCAGCAGTTGGTCCTTCTGATACTATCCTAGTGTGTTGTCGTAAAACAGACACCATAGTACAGATATTTCAAACAGGTCAAATGTTAACATCGTACAAGATAGATATGAAAAATCCGTTTAAAGTATGTGTCTCACGTGCCTGATCATTTATTGTCGTTACAAATAACTGTCCTGGACATATGAAAATGCAGAAATTCAAAATATGAATATAACAGCGCCATCTTCAGTTTTACATAGAAGATTTACACACCGATTCAAACATTTTAAAGAATGAAACCAGAATTTATCAGTGACATATGATGGATGGATCATGGAATTATAGTTATGTTCTAGCACGAATGCAGTTGATCTTATTAAAAACATTCAAATAGATAACAAAATGCTGAGAAAAAGTGTTCTAATCAAAAGTAGTCGATGTATGTTTTAACAGACAGATTTAACATCACTAACACCTGGAGTAAATAATTAAATATTAATAATTTGAATCAATGATTTCAATTGAGATATTTATTTCATTTTAGGCATTTCAATTAATCAATTAATCATGAGTTATGTTTCGAAGGATCACCTTTTCTCTAAGTTTTTATTTAGCACGGCTTATATGTAAAGTAGTTCTATTCTGTAACATAGTTATCTTATTTTTTTATCATCAATAATGTTGACTTTATAATTATACATTTGTTTGTTATCATCAATTTCCCGATGTTTTTTTTCTTAAACAATTTGTGATAAAATGTCACTACGTTCTTTTAATACCTTTAACCATCATATACTGCCTTACCTGAAAGTGATTAGCCTTTGGCACCAGTATACATCCAGCCAGCATGTATATTCAAGCAGTCTGACCAGTTTTTATTTCTTTTCTAATATTGAAATTTTTTACACTTCAAATGGACTGCACCAAACTCAAAGGCAACTCCATTTTATGAATTAAGCAGGTCAAGGGTTAATAACAACAACGTTTATTAGATAAAATTTACATCAATTTCTTGACTTCAGTTGACTTTTTTATTATAATATATATATATCAAAACATAATAGATATAGATCTATAAGTATAATATGAAAGTTATGTTAGAAATGCATATATTTTATTGAGTCTTATTGTATATCATATATCGTGTTCTTCAAGATGATTAAATATAACAATCAGAAAATATCATATATAGACCCTTTCATTAAAACCGGATTCAAGTTGTCGCTCTTGGAATACGTCATTGGAGATACGGTGGACATTGCCGGTAATAAAGGAATTTGGAGATCTAAATCCTTAATCTTGTAAGATGGGCAGATTGAATATGCCAAAGAGGGTTGTAACGGTGCCAGGACTCTAAAAACAAGAGGTGAAAAACGCACACAAAAATCGTTGTTAACTGAATTATAATTAATGCCAGTTGATAGTCATTCTGGATGATTCTGGATGATCAAATCGGTAAGTCATGACAACCAATAAAGTCCCTAGGATGATCAAATCATATATATTTTGACAAATCACAAAAGTGACATAATCTGATGTAATGTTACATCTCTTAATTATTTACCCTGGTGATTTATGATATTACTGCCAAGTGCCGCTTGTTTACAACATTTGCACTAAGTTGATTAAAATGTGTCAGAGGCGCTTATATATACAAATTCATTTATAATATACACAATAAATTACTGGTAAACGTTCTTTTTTCTTTTACTTGCTAACTTTTCACCGAGAACGGCCATTCGCTTGTCACGCGATTGAGGATAAAAAAGATTTTACTACTAGAGTTCTGATTGGCCGATATATCGGATGCTGGTGACAAGCAAATGGCCGTTCTCGGTGAAAAGTAAGCAAATTAAAGAAAAAGCCGCTAACATGGTTGTCTGTCGAAATAATTTCACGTAATCATACATGTATGATTTGCAAATTATTTTTATTCATTGAGATCAAGCCTTTGCTTCGTGTGTTCATTGTTGTAATTTTTTTACGGGATAAATCGCGTGTTTTCAATGTTGCGACTTCTCGGTGGACTAGCAAAAAAGTCGTTTTCGGCTAGGCTTGTGTTCGGCATGTTACTATATGCATGGTTAAAGGGACAAGTTGCTATCATTTATTTAAAGTACTATAAGTATGCTACATGTACTTATAGAATATAGAATTTGCTCAAAAAAGAGAAAAGAAAATCGCTTCTCATTGAGGTAAAGGCGAAAATTGCATATGTTGGAGTTATATATATGGGTTGTCACATGCGTTTTTGGTCTTGACCTAGGTTTAGTCACACCTGACCCTATTTTAGAGTCCTGGCACCGTTACAACCCTCTTTGGTATCGACCGACTTAAAAAGCAAAATCATATTTAATAAATTTTCGGAAAATGTGTACCTGTCTCGGTAACATACACGTGTCATAGTTTCGGGTACATTTTTCAGTAAACGTAACAAGTTTCATGAACATGTTGCAATACTATGTGCGTGTCTCGTTATCACATGTTTATGCCAACATATTTTGAACACGTCTTTGCTCTGTTTTCTGATAGTCATAAGTGCAAAAGATTTATACTTATTGCAAGGCTTCCATGATTTATCCATACAGCATTAATTTACAAGAAATTGTAATCGTGGATAACGGTTATTTGTCATCAGATACTTGTCATCCAACTACATTTAACAATTATTGCCCTTTATCAATGACTGCGATTTATATTACTAGTATTTGCTTCCTCTACTTAGCTCTCAATGTCTTCAGTGAAGAAAACGATTTATCATGTGTGACAGTCACCCTATACAATGGCACTGATCTGTTTGACATTGTTGTAATTCTTTTCCCAACAGTTTACTGCAAACTGTCATAGGAACTCGGGGACAGGACCGCATATAGCAACACATACTTCAGAATTTGCCGGGTTTAGCTGTTGTGTGTCCGAACTTTTCATATTATCCGTGTGAGTGGTCTTTCAATATATAATTATACATAATCTGCTCAAATAAGTCAAATTTACGATATTTTAGAAAAAGAAATTGAGTGACATCCGCCAATTACCACGACGTTTTGTATGTGTTACTCCCCTTCATAAGTAGTCCAAGTATTAACAGGTAAATCCTTAAACATCATGGAAAGTAAATAATCTATAATAAGAGAAAAAAGAGCGTATTCTGTACACAGATAATATATGTTTGTTGTTTACACATGTCTCTGCATTTCTTTGACGGATTAGAGAATGGACTTTATTGCAATGAAAACATGAGTGAAACTTATCAATACAGGGTGCCAGGGTCAGATTTGTTATATTTAACTTTACATTCTCATTGCTTTAATTCAATTAAGCCGTGAAATTCTCCAATGGTCTGAATGAAGATATTTTGTGTGAGAATAAGATTTTTTGTCCGCAACAAAAAATATATGGAGTCAATAGTTGGTCGTCACCGTTAAATTCTAACAGACTCCTACAAATCCACATATACTGATTTTATAGGCAATGTAGAGGTATGGGGTGTTTATATCTTGTTATGGGAAAGTCCATAAATAACATCTTAGAATGTTGACAAAAAGTATTGCCTTATGGTCCTTTTAAACGATCTTTGCAATAGCGTCAAACGTTGTCATTTTGTATCTAATCAGCATGAAATATTTCAATATTTATAATTCCAATGATTGTTTTTTTTGTATTTTTGCACTAAGCTTTAAAGTAAAGATTTACCAATTAAAAGACAGTCTAACTGACTTTTATTTAGCACGGCGTATATGTATCTGTACCATGAATAGCTTATTTATCAATAATCTTCACATAGTGTTGTTGTATAGTTATACATTTTATGTCTGTAAATATCAATTTTCGATATCCTAACAGTTTTGTCCAAATGACATCTTTCATATAAAATCGTTGTTTTGTAATAGTTTATTAAGTACAGTATATTGTGATAATGGCGAAAGGTTCATTTTTTTACTTGATCCGAAATTTAATTGTTTTTGCCACTTGCATAGAAAAAGACAGCTGTAGTACTTCATAAAGAGCAGTAACAATGTGGTGCTTTCAGAGTGGTACGAGTGCATTGTCTACATATATGATATCATGACAAACACGAGAGTCATAGTGAAGGATGATTCGTACAAAATAAATATGAAATGGTCGAGTAGTGTATTTTTATCACTTGATAAATATTTCTGTTTTGTTATTTTAAATAACTGTCCTAGAAAATAGAAAAGAAGAAATTCAAAATGTCAAAATAATAAGAGTCGTACAATTAATAATAATAAGTAATAATTGAAACACGATTTGAACGGTGACATATGAAAAATGTACATATATACTTATTTCTTCCAATGTCTGAATGTAGATGTTTGTACAAACATACATTAACGCAAATCATTGTACTGAAAATTGCTAAAGTTAACATTATGTATTATGTTATGACAGACAGATTAATTAAGTATTAACATATTTTTGTTTATCTCATTTTGGCAAAAGTAAATTATATTAAAGTTTTAACCATTACTTGTAACGTTGAACTAAATCTTCACTAACTCTATCAATAGCATAAATGTATGAATTATTTTTTGTTAAATAACGTGTGTTGTTTACCACCGTTACTTCTTTTTATTTATCATTATCATTTAATGCTGACTGTAAAATTGATAAATTGTGTTTCTGTAAATGTAGTCAATATCCTAAAT